GTAGGCAATCCCTTGGTCATCACATCAGCATTGCGTCGTCGGCACGTGGAGAACCCGAACACGGCCAAGGGCAACCTGCTCGCGCACGAAGTGAATATCGAGCTCAATATGCTTCGTCCGTCGATGGTGCACCGGGTTGGCGGAGAGGTAGACCGCGCTGACGTTATCACAGTAGACAAGAGTGGCCTTGTGAACATCACAAAGCAACTCCTAGAGCAGCTGACGTATCCAAGAGCACTCGGCCACAGCGTTAGCCATGGGGCGATACTCTGCCTCGGCGCTGGAGCGGGAGACCGTGGGCTGCCGCTTCGATGACCAAGAGATCAACGAGGGCCCAAGGTAGACGCAGTAGCCTGACGTAGAGCGTCGCGTGTCGGGGCAGCCAGCCCAGTCGGCATCGGAGTAGGCCACGAGGTCGGTGGAGGCGGAGGCCGGCAGGGCGAGTCCCAAGGACATGGTGCCGCATATGTAATGGAGAATACGCTTCACCAGAGTCCAGTGAGAGTCACGCGGGGCGTGCATGTGGAGGCACACCTGCTGGACAACATACTGCAGGTTGGGACGGGTCAGCGTCAGGTACTGTAAAGCACCAACAATAGAGCGATAAAACGCTCCATCGGACGCAAGAGACTCCTCGAGAGCAGAGACCTTCGTGTCGACGGGCGTGGGCGCCGACTTGTAGTTAAGCATACCGGCACGCTACAGGAGCTCGTGGGCGTACTTCTGCTGATGTAGAAAGAAGCTGTCAGGCCGACGGACCACCTCGATGCCGAGGAAGTAGTGCAGGGGCCCCAAGTCCTTGAGGGCAAACTCATCACGAAGACGAGCAGTCAGCCGCTGAAGGAGATCGGGGGCGGAGGCCGTGAGGATGATGTCGTCGACGTAGAGCAGCAGATATGCAGTGTCAGCTCCCTGATGATACACGAATAGTGAGGCATCGGAGCGAGTGGACCGAAAGCCCAAAGACTGCAGGAAGGCTGCGATACGCTGGTACCAAGCCCGAGGCGCCTGCTTCAACCCGTAAAGAGAACGAGAGAACAAGCACATAAAGTCTGGGTGCTCGGCGTCGACGAAGCCAGTGGGCTGCTCACAGTACACCTGCTTGGCAAGGTGGCCGTGCAAGAAGGAGTTGGAGACATCCAACTGGTGCATAGGCCAGGCGCGCGAGACCGCCAACTAGAGCACGACGCGGATAGTGCCCGGTTTAACAACCGAGGCGAAGGTGTCGGTGAAGTCCGCGCCTGCGCGCTGCCGAAATCCGTGGACCACCCATCGAGCCTTGTAGCGCTCGAGACAACCGTCCGGGCGAGTCTTGTGGCGAAACACCCACTTGCCAGAGATGATGTTGGCACGAGGGGGACGCGGAACAAGCTGCCACGTGCGGTTGTGCTGTAGGGCGTCGAACTCCTCCTGCATCGCAGCTAGCCAGTGGGGATCCCAAAGGGCAGCACCAGCGGAGGTGGGAACGGGTGATGGCGTCGACGTCGAGGCAGTGCACACATACTCGTCGGCGGAGTAGCGTGTGCTGGGCCGAAGAACTCCTGCTCGGGCACGGGTGGTCACACCAAGTGACGGGGCAGCAGGGCCGGCGGGTGCCGCGGCGACGGGGGCACCCGGCGCGGCGATGGGGCCTGTGGCCACGGAGGGGGCCGCGGCGGCGGCGGCGGTGACGGAGGTCGCAGCGGAGGCTGCAGCGACGACAGAGGACGCAGCAGTGGCGGCAGCGGCGGGGGCCACGGCGGCAGCAGCACCGGCCGATCCGGCGGCGGAAGAGGCGACGGGCGAGGATGACGTCGAGCCCGTCGCAGGGGTGGCGGGTGGGGTGCCGGGCTCAACCTCATATGAGGGAGACGGGGACCCAAGGGCCCGCTCAAACTCGACCTCGGGGGAGGGAGTCACGAAGCCGGGTGGTGGCGGCAGATGACGCCGGGCCGGGGAGGCCGTCGGGGGGTGCCGCCGCGCATCGCTCCACGAAGGGGGCGCGGGGGGCCAGTGCTGAAGGGGCCGAAGCCGAAGGAACCTGGAAAAAAGGAAACACCGTCTCGACAAAGTACACATGCCTCGAGGTGTACACACGATGAGTGACAGGATCATAGCACCGCGGTAACCTTTGGTGTTAGGAGGGTAGCCAAGGAGGACGCATGGGACGGATCGTGGTGCGAGCTTGTGTGGCGTGGTGGACGCGGTGCTAGGATAACAGAGACTCCCGAAGATGCGGAGACCATCATAGGACGGTGGTGTGCCGAAGAGAAGGTGGTGAGGGGCATAGTTCCCCCGAGGGCGACAAGGACGAATGTTAACTAGGAGAGTGGCGGTGGCGAGAGCATCGGGCCAAAACCGAGCGGGCACGTTAGAGTGAAAGAGTAACGTGCGAACGCAATCATTAAGAGTGCGGAGAATGCGCACGGCGCGGACGTTCTGCTGTGAAGTGTATGGACAGGTCAAACGAAAGATGGTGCCGTGAGAGGCGAGAAGCATGTGGAGAGCGGCGTTGTCAAACTCTTTTCCGTTATCCGTCTGGAGTGCGAGTATGGGGCGACCGAATTGGGTGGTGACATAGGAATAAAAGGCGGTGAGTGTGGCTAAAGCATCGGATTTACGACAAAGGGGAAAAGTCCACACATAATGAGAATAATCATCTAAAATCACCAAGTAGTATAGATAGCCCGTGTTACTCGCAACAGGAGATGTCCAAACGTCACTATGAAGTAATTGAAACAAAAAAGTGGAAACTGAAGAAGACGCA